TAATGTCTTAGATCAATTATTCGAGGCAATAATTCTGAGGCAACCATTCTGAGGCAACTTTTCTGAATCGGGACTTTGATCTTTGTTTAGACAAAAGGATGACCACTAAAGCATCCTATACTCAATGACTATTTACCGAAGGCAACCAAGTGAGAGTGTACCCTAGGAGTGTGCATGTGCGAATGATTCAATTTCAGTTTATTTATCTTTGCACATTTAGGGTGATCTAACTGTTTTTAAATTAATCATACATTCTTGTCATGCATCCCTATATCATACATCTAACAGTTAATAATTTGTGGAATTTAAAGTGCGGAATTTAAACTACGCTATTACAAGGCTTCGGGTATTTACATAGCAAAAAACAAACCCTTTGAAAATAAAGCGATAAATGTAAATAAACGTCCTAATTAAACTATTACAAACTGTAGGCAGTTACATCAATATGGTAAATAATAAAAATAAAGCGCGCGAGAAGAATTAAGATCGACGAGAATTTAAGGTTTTGACCCTTCTATCCTAATTAAAAGAAAATTTGTTTTTTTGTTGTTTTTAATAAAAGAAATAAGTTTTCTAAATTAAATATGCAATTAATTAGTTAATTAAATTAATTAGTAAAAATAATTACATGACCTATTTTGGTTTCTTTGGTTATTTTAGGAAAAAAATAAAATATAATTAAGTTAGTAATAAAACCTATTTATTCTAATTATTTTTAAGTTATTTACAAAAAGAAATTAAAGTTTTACCTAAAATTAAAATTTAATTAAGAAAAAATCCTAAATCTATTTTTATGTGATTTTTATATTTTGTTTATTGATAAAAAAATAAAAGGGATTAAAATAAATAAATAAAATGAATAAAACATGAAAATAAAGATGGGCCTAGTAGCAAAAGTAAACATGGGGGTGCAATCATCAGAAATCCCTAGGCCCGAATCTTCGAAAGCTTCATGCTCTAACTATGGTATTTTTTTATTCTTGCGTGGAACCTATGATTCAACCATCCATAACTGTTCTATATAAACTCAAACAAACGTTAGCATACCATAAAATGTGATTAAAATTAGAGATTCAAAGTTTAAAATTTTACCAAACCGGTGTTGTCAAATGAGGGGCGTGCTAGGCGTGTGATAGATTGCTCTTGGTACTTGTAAGACTCTTGAGGACTTCAAGAGAATGGTTTGAGGCTTGATGTCAATTGAGAGAGACCGGAACCTCGAGATATGACTTGCACCAATTCTTTGATTTCTGGATAGCTTTTTGAAGAGCTTTTGGAGAGCTTTTTAGAGAGAAATTTCGTCCCTTTCAAGCTTGTATGGCTCTATATTTATAGAGGAGAATGAGGAGACAAGAAAGCATGGAAATAATCTCCCTCATAATGTTGTGTTTTAAGACCATGATCAAAATTTGAAAAAAATGTCGTATTTCATGATTTTATGCCATTTTCACATGTGGATGAACCTGGACATATTTGAAGAGTTATTTCATGAAATCAATTGACATAAACCAGCATAAAACTTTCCCAAAATGGATTCACATCAAAATTTATATTATTTCTATTATTTATTTATTTAATTCTGAATTTTAATGAATAAAATATCAAAATAAATAGCATAAATAGTAGAAAAATGTATGGGTGGGCTTAGAGGTCGTGGACCATGTTAAGAATGAGTTTCAAACTTGAAAAGATAGGCCCATTTGGAAAAAATCCAAGTTTGGTCAATATTTGCTTCATGCATTTTTTCAAAAATTGTCCAACTTTGACAATGCATATCTCTCTCAATTTTAACCTTATGAGGGTGTTCTTGGACTTTTTAGAAATCTTAGGATGTCCCCTAATAGACCTATTTGTTTTCATCTCAATTGGATCTTCCATGTTCATGTAAGAAGCTTTGACCCAAAAGGTGTTTTTGTTGACTTTCCAAATGACCTATAATGTCCAAATTCATAACTTCTTGTGAGTGCATATTTTGAACTTGGGATATGAAGATGGATTGTAGGGAATTGAATACTATTCAAAATGAGCTTTGGATGGGTCATTTCACATACAGTATGAGAAAGTTATGCTTGGTCAAAGTTGAGTTGACTTTTCCTACAAAACCCTAATTTAGCAACTTTTGAGTCTTGATGAATTATGAGCAATCCTTGTTGAATCATGATCAACCCTTTATCAAATGATTAAATATACTTAAAAATGAGTATGTTGACCAAAAATCTTGAATTTTGACTGTATGTGGGCCACAGTTGACTTTTGTCCTAGCACAGTCGATTTTCAGGCCTTTGAGCAATTGACTGAGCAAACTTCCTCTGCAAGGCTTGAAACTTGACATGGATGATATTGAGAACATATTAGGACAATGTTGAGCATTTGGGGTCTCTTGGACTCAAGTATATTGATGCAACATGAAACCCTAATTTGAGGTAGACTGCCTTAGGAGAGAGCTTGTTTGGCCAACCCTTGGACTATCTTGAGCAACTTGGGGATCTTTCTTGAAATGTTTTGAGAAATATGGGAGGGCAAATTTTGGGGTATAACATAAGGCATTTCAAAACATTTTCAAATGCAAAGCACAAAAGCATTTTTAAAAATGAGCAAACCTCTAAGAGCCCGTGAAAACCATGGATCGAAAGGGTGCTAACACCTTCCCTTTCCATAACCTACCCCCCTTACTCAGAAACATCTCTAAAAGGTCTTTTTCCATTCTTTTCACCCTTTCCTTTGTTGGATGAAAGAAAATACGGTGGCGACTCTTGCTTACTGCATATTTGCGAATACAAAATGCAAAACTAGTAGTATATAACAGTCGGTTCTGCCACCGTAAAACATGATGTCTCGTTAATAAGTTGGTGTATCTGCGGCAGCTGGTAAGAATCTTTGGGACATGCTTTGTTGAGGTCCATGAAGTCGACACGCATACGCCATTTTCCTAATTTATTTTTGACCATCACCACATTGGACAACCAAGTAGGGTACTTTATTTCCTTGATGAAACCGGCGTCAAGCAGTTTCCCGACTTCTTCTTTCACGACATTTCTCTTATCTCCTCCTCCTTTTCATTTCTTATGAGATATTGATTTTGTATCAGAGTCCAATTCCAAATGGTGACACGGGAATTTCATACCTATCCCGGGCATATTCGAAGGCTTTTAGGCGAAGAGATCAACATTCTCTTTTAACATTGTTACAATCTTTTCTTCCTCTTCATAGGACAAGTTGACTCAGATGTAGGTTATCTCAGAGGGCATGTTGGCAATCTGAACTTTTTTGGTTTCCTCGTGAGGAGATAAACTGTCCTCTAGTGGGTTATCACATGGGTCTATTTCGACCATGTTGACTTTGAGATCATTTGAGTGTGTTGCAACTAGTTTTTAAATTAGAGTCGTCACCCTTAATTTTTATCCTAAAGGAAGGGAGTATAAAGGAATAACCCTAAAAGTTAGAGATTCTAGGTTCTTTAGACTCGGTTATAGACAAAGGGGAGGTGTTAGACACCCCTTATCTACCTTGTTCACAAGGATACTAGGTTTAGAAGCACGTTCTTAGGAAATAAGGGTTTTAATTATTATTGAGGAAAAAGGGTTTAAATTTTAGTTTGGGGGACTCGCCACGATTTTGATTGTATGCCTACGTATCATCTTAGGAGGAATCAGAATCCCATTTCGTAGTTCGCGGTTGGTTTGTGTTTTTTATAAGATTACATAGAATTGCTTTCGAATTAACTTTGAACCTTGTATGGGTTGTAAGTTGAGTGATCGTAGACGCAGTTCGCAGTTTGATTTGAAGATGACACTATTTAATCATTTTTTGAAAAATGTTCTTGAATTTGATTGTTATGTTAGTAAAAAAAGATTTGAGATTGGTTAGTTGTTTTAAGACGCATAGTGGGGGAGTCTGATATAGCCTCCTCATCGCGTTGCCAAATATTAGCCATGTGTCGCTTACGGATGGAATATTTGGAATTGCGTGGATTTTAATATTTAGTTTTGAATAATAAACGGTAGATGATGTGTCGACCAATTTAATTATTCGAAGAGGGACATCCTATTATTCATAGGATGTGTGAATTAATTGTTTGAGAAATATCAGAATTGGGTGAAAGGTGACAAATTACTTAAAAATATAAGCAATTTTAATCTTAAAAAAAGGGTGAAATTTAATCAAAGATTTAAAATATGTACAAATTAGTCAAATTAATTAATTTAAACAATGACTACATTAATTTAGAAAGTAAACATTTTTTGTGTTTTTTATGAGAAATTAAATTAGACTAAATTAATCTAAATAGAATCTAATTAATTAATTAATCTTAAACTAAATAAAACAAGATCATATAGTATAAAATAAAACAAATATTCTAAGGTTAGAGGTGTGAAGTTAGAATTAGGTGAAGATATTTAGCAGAAAGATAGACTAAAAGGGCCCAAAGCCCAAATGAACACCAAATCATAATTATATTAACTAAATTAAAAAAACATAAGAATATAGTGAGCCAAATTATAAACCTGACCGTGCAAGCCCCTTTGCAATTTGTCTTAATCCTTCAATCCAATCGTCATTCAATAGAAAAGAGACACGTGGACATGATTTTAAAATACTAAAATAAAAATAAACTAAAATAACATGATTAGCCATTAGAAAGAGAAATATTATATCTCTTCCTTCTCCTTTTCCTGTACGTCTCTTACTGTAAAATCAACATTTTTCTTTCACATTCCAAAACCAAACAAATACCAACATATAGAAATATACTCACATAAATCCACAATAATGATAAGCCTATAAAAATAAAATACACGACGGTAGAGAGTACCAGTCAGTGTCCTTTGGTGCGGATCGGAGCAGGTGGGTTGAAACTCCAAGGTTGGATCGTGTGGTCGCCGGCTGTTTGCATGATAGCATGCTGATGGTCATAGGATTTGTTCGTCAGAGAAGCTGCTCATGGTCGGGATAGAGCGGGTTTGGTTCGAATTTGCAGCAATTTCAGGTTGCTTCAAATTTCAACTTCTTCTTTGTTTTCCGATTGGAAAGTGTTGTTGGTTTGATTTGGATTTTGAGACCATGGTGGTTTGTAGACAATTGTTCTGTGATGGTGAAAGCAAGCAAATTCGAACATATAATTGTGGAAGGAGGGTGTAAATCGGAGGCATGGTGGACGGGCGGTTTCGATGTGAACTCGGGATTCTGCCTCTCGTCTTTCTTATATTCTCTCCTGCTTCAAAATCCAAAAGAAAACAAATAGCAGTAATAATGGTATTTTTAATTTTGTTATCTTTTGAAATTGAAATCACTGATGGTTGAAATTGCAGGTTTTGTAATAAACCAAAAAATCTTGGCAAACAATGAGAGAATAGTAACCATGTATTCAATATTATAGTAAAAATAATAATAATTACGGACACAAACTTGGCACATGAAATCCGATTGATTTTATAGATGACAAAAAAAAAAAGAGGAGTTCAAATTAAAGAGTTATATATATATATATATATACTGTTTGTTAGAAACATGAGTGCATTTATGAATTTTTAACTTTTAATATAACAACGATGAATAAAATGAAAATCAGTGGTTAGAGACTATGAGGATGGTTGTTAGTGCTCTTGTGAGTGGCTACTGAGAAAGTCTTTCTCTTAGAAGAAAAAGTGAAAAGATAAGTTTATAAACCGTGAGAAATAAGTTGGATGCGATGTGTATATTTGTGGATATTGTGATTTAATATGCGAATGTAAGAAATTGTTATTACAAAAAGAAATATAATAAACCAAAACATCATCAATTTGATATCATATGATTAAAAATAAATAATTGGAGATAAAAGATAATGTCCTCATATGAAATCAACGGCCAAACATATCAATAGTAAAAGAGATTTTGAAAACCAGAAATTTGTTAAAAGAGAGAAAAAAACTAGAGTGTGTGAGTGTGATTGAATTATGGATTTTCTGGATGAAAAACTAGGATAATGATGAGTCATATTTATAGAGTGGGAATTAGGTTAAATAAACTTAACAAGTAAGTTATCCAAAGTGAATGAAAAGCGCAAGTCCGATTTCCAAAAAGGAAAGAAAATTAGTAACAAAAAGAAATAAAAAGAACATCATAAGTGCTTCACAAGAGATTCAAACCCATGACCTTATACTTACAAGCTTTATTCTTTACCAATTGTGTTGTGTTACTCATTTGTAAATAAACTCAATTTGAAGGAATATGAAAGGTGTGCAAGTATTTGCTATTTTAAAAATACAAATAATTTGAAATGAATCATTATATTTTTAAATAGGTTTGGAAGCGAATATTTATAAAAATTAAATAATATTATAAAAATAAAGTTTAAAATATTTTTGACTAGACTTGAGAATGAACATCTATAAAAATAAAATACTATTATAAAAATAATGTTTAAAGTAGTTTTGACTATAGAAATAAAATGGCGGGAAAATTTGGGGTATGACAGTTGCCCATATTTAATCATCTTTCGATTAAATAGTGCGAGAGTATGCAGGTCTCGCACGTTTGATCAGAAGTTTATTAAATATTGAAAGACCCAATGATTTGTCCGAAATAACAATAAGGATACGTTGTACAGCGTTCCCATGAGTATGAAGAATAGGCATAGATGATGATGTATCATCCTACCAGCGTTTGTACCAAAGTTTTTGATCTAGACATGATGATGCAGATGACCCGTCAGTACTTAGCGGGATTGTAGAATTTTGCATATTTACCGATACTCGATAGCCAGATGAAATATGTTAGGTTTGAAGTAATGGAACCCAAAATTCCCTGATGGTGTCGGTTGTGTCGTCCTCGACAATAATTATCAACGTGAAGAACACCAAATTCATGACGATGTCAGTTGTATCGTCCTCAACCATAACTATCAACATGAAGGAAATAAACACCAAATTCACGATGAAGTTGGTTGTGTCGTCCTCAACCATAACTATCAACGTGAAGAACACCAAATTCATGATGAAGTCGGTTGTGTCGCCCTCAACCACAACTATCAACATGAAAAAAATAAGCACCAAATTCATGATGAAGTCGGTTGCGTCGCCCTTAACCATAACTATCAACATGAAGAACATTGTAATACGGTGGGAGAACTGACATGGGTGTTTTGCGTTTTATCGCAATTGTTACGGATAGCAAGAGTCGCCACTGACTTTTCTTTCGTCCAATAAAGGAAAGGGTGAAAAGAACAGGAAAAACCTTTTAATAATTTTTCTTGAGTTCGGGGGGTTGGTTATGAAAAGGGAAGGTGTTAGCACCCTTTTCATCCGTAGTTATCTACGGGCTCTTAGTTGCTAGCTCACTTTGAAATGCTTTGTTTGAAAGGTGTTTGTGATAGGTTTTGAAAGTATTTTTGAAAAGTGCCTTCGCTTAGGCGAACTTGGTAATGATTCTCGTTTCGGCGAAAATGTATACAAAGTGTTGACTTTTGAAAATATTTCATTTGAAGTGTTGGTGTGTATTAAACATGTTTGAAAAATGGTTGTGACCAAGCAACTACGAACGTTCTACCTACTCAAAAAGTATTTGTTCATTTCCTCCTCCTTTGGATATTACTATCTTACTATTGATTGATAAGAAGCCCTGTCATTGGATGTGAAGGGACGGACGTGGGTCGCTGTATAGTCATAGAAGGCAACATTATTGGATACCTTAGAAATTTTTGTAAGGTTCTAAGATTGTTTACCGAAGCCAACATCGAAGGGTCATCGAGGGACTACGATCTTGTATTCGATGGTCATTGCTAAAGTATCCCATATTTGAGGGACATGACTGTTTTTTCTCAAGGCAACAAGTGAGGTTAATCCTAGAGGTGCAAGTGTGAAAAGTGTTTGTTTTCATGCATTTTGTCTTGAGATTAGGGTTCTCTATTGTTTGATTTTTAGTCTTGTCGTACACACCCTAATTACTAGCAATTGTATTGAAAGCGATAAATTACGAAAATTTAAAGTTCTACGCTATTACATCTTTTTTGGGGATGAGGGATACAAATTTACAAATGAGGAATGAAAGCAATTAAAACCTAATTACTACTACAACCATATTTAATAATAAATAACAATAAAAATATAAAGAAATATAAATATAATGTAAAAAAAAAAAGAAAATTGATTTTAAAAAACTTTTATGTATTGACACATACACTTACGTATTGATACAAAAACATTTATGTATTGATGCATGCACTTATGTATTAATATGAAAACTTTTAAGCATTGATACATATCATTCCTTTCTCCTAGAAGTCAAAAATAACTCAGTATGAGTCTACACATAAGGGTTTGTATCGACTCATACTGCTTTGTATCGACACATGCACGTTTTGTATCGACTCATACTCATTTCTTGCTCTTGGAAGTCAAAAATAACACAGTATGAGTCGACACATAATGGTTTGTATCAACTCATTTATGTTTTGTATCAACACATGCTTGTTTTGTATCAACTCACAACTTGTTTTATACATAATATATGTCGACTCATAGTGATATGCATCGACTCATACTGCTGTTTTTTACTTCTAACATTGTTCTGCTACATGTAAAAGTCAGTTCTTAACACATTGTTAATGAAAATGAAAATGAAAAGCAAGCATATGGTTAGCTTCAAGGTAATGATATCTACATTTTATCTTCATAAATGAACCACTAATGAGGTTTGTATGAAGAGTTCAAAGTCAAGAAACTTACCTTGAAACTGAAATTTTTGTTTTGATTTTGAGTTGGAGAAGTCAAGTTGCAGGTGGCTGTTTTTGAATTTGAAAAATAGTGATGTTACAGAAGTTGTTATTGACTTTGAACAACTTTTATTTGATGTATGTGGAGTGTTTGGATGGTTTGTTTGGATAGAACTTGCAAGGTGTAAGAGGTTCAAAGATTTGGACTTTAAAGCTCAAGAGTGGAGGTTTTGTGGACAGTTATGGTTTTTTGAGAGTATGAAGGGTTTTGAGAAACTTATCTACACAACAAAAACTTATAACCTTTAGCTTGCAAATGACTTCTCTATTTATGGAGGAGGTTTGAGAGGATGAGAGAGTTTGTTTTACAAGCTGTCAAAATCCTGGTTTGGTTGAGATGAAACAACCAAGTTATGTGAAATTTGATGTCCCAATGCATGGTACAAAAGGGATATGAAGTGGCTAGGAGTTTTTAGGCATGTTGCTTCTTTCTTTGACATTGTGTTTGCAGAAAAAAACAGTTGAGAGGCTCAAGGAGATCTGACTTTGTATAAAGCATGCTTTATGTGAATGGAAATGATGCCTTTGTGCCATAAATGAAATGATGCAATGGACAATACTTGAATCACTTGGATAATGGTTCAATCAATTGTGTAAACATCTGATTATGGATATATTTGCAAGTCAAAAGGCCTTCAAAGTAAGATTATGTAGCATGGCATAAGGATTTTGTTATATGTTCTTCAACAAAATGACTTGCAATTCGAGAACGGATGCCCGACTTCAGGCCCTTGAATCTCCTATCTCAAGTATGATAAATTAATGCTCTTGGATGTTTTGGTAAGCTTGAAACATCCTATAAAACTTTCATGTTGGCCATTTTGACAAAATCATCTTGGAACTATTTGAAAAAATGTCAAGAAGTTGGGATAAAATCCTGACCAAAATCTGTTGAGAATTTCTCTAAGTGTTAGATGAAAATGTCATGACTTCATGGGTTTATATCTTCAAATCTAAGAGTTTTTTGGAAATCAACCCTCTAATACAAATTTTTAGAATTAATCAAGATCTAGAACTTCATGTTGAAAGTTTCATTTGAATCATTTTGCATCATGGTGAAAAATTGGTATGAAGTTATGAAATAAACATGTATAAAACACTTAGAAAAATTTCTAAGTCTTGAAAAGTTTTGAATTTTCAAATTGACTTTTGAATCTCTTGACTTCTTGATGTCAAGCTTTATATTCTTGAATGTCTTGATGAATTTTGATCTTTGAAACTTAATGTTGACCAAAAAGTCAAAGTTTGACTTTTTAGTGTACAGTTGACTTTTTGATCAGTTGACCAAATTTCATGTATCAATCCATTGATCTTGAGAAATTTTTTGAGCCATGAAATTAGGTCAACATATTGTATTTGAATCCTTGAGATTGTACTTTAAGCCATTAGATAATGTATTAGGTCAAAAAGTCAATGATCAATCGTCCTTAGTCAAAACCCTAATTTGTGGTCTCGGTGTTTCGGAGGTGACTTTGTCTGATCAATTCTTGAGAATCATCAAGCATTGGAGATCCTTTGTAAGGAATGTCTTGAGAAAGAGAGGGGAAGTTTTGGGGTACAACAGCTTCCCCTGTTCAATCTTCTTAAACCTGAAGATTTAGATTGGTGGGTCTGCCATTCGTGACTTGAAGGTGGAAGATGATTGAACACTAGAGTGCCTAGAAATTTGCACTCGACTAT